TCTAAATATAAAATAATTTAATAAAAATTTTATAATTATACTTGTTTCAATATTACAATTCCCTTCTTATATTTTCTGTATCTATTTGATGTTTCACAAATAAAATTATATTAAATGAAAGATATTTTTAAAAAGAAAAAACATATCTTCATGTCCTTATAATTTTACTCAATTTTGAATTAGATCTCTTCAATTTATTTTGTTTTCATTAAGCCCTTATAGTTTGATCACTTAAACTTTTTAATCCCTCAAGGTTAAAATCCTTAAATTTTTCCTTTAAAAAATAAAATCAAGAACTTTTATATTTTTATGAAATGATTACATGACTTTAAAATTAATTAGATAATTTTATAATTCAAAATTTAGATAATTAGCTTGTCTTCTAAATATTTTTTTATACATATAGAAATTTTATTAAAAAATTAGTAAAATGTAAACAGCGTTTTAAATTAATTTTTATTTTTTCAATTTTGACAAAAAGTATTAAATAAGAATTTTGATAAAATTCAATAATATTTTTGTATTTCAAAATTTAATAATTAATTATTAATTTTAAACTTTAGGAATTAACATATACTCCCTCCCGTTCTTATTGTAGAATACTTTCAATCATTTTACATTTATTAAAAAAAATTATTTTTTATATTATAAAAAAGTGAGAGATACTTTTATTTTTGCTTATGACTTTAAATAATAATACAATTACATTAAGTATTTTTACGCTAATCAAGAAAGGATAAAATTAAAAAATAATTTAATTATTATAATACATCCTATATTTTAGATCAAAAATTACTTCTAAAGTATGCCTTATAAATAGGATCGGAAGGAGCATAAAAGATGAAACTATATGGGCTTGATTAAAATAAAATAAATAGAAAATACTTAATTAAACATTGAATGAAACTATAAAGACTTGTAGATATATTTTTCCTTTTAAAAATTTTTATTTAAAAAAAAGATTATAACATGTATTCAATAAATTTTATTAGCATGTGTAATTTTCTCAAGAAATTTCTTATAAATTGGAATAGAGAATGTATATGCTAGATTAAGATAAAACTTTTTTCCCATATGTGTTTGGTTTGAGGGGAGGAGAAGGGAGTTGAAATTTTGATAAGTTCATCAATTTAAAAAGAATATAAGTGAGGTTATAAAATTTTAATAAAAAGAATATGTAAAATAGAAGAGTGACGAAAATTAATTAAAAACTTGTAATTCTGCTTCTCCAAATTTATAATTTTACAATTTTATTTTAAAATTTTAATAAATTTGTCCAATATTAATTTGGCTAGTACAAATTAATATTAAAAAAGTATACAATTTGACAATCTAGATAAGCTCTAGACAGTTCAGATATAATCTAAATAATCTAATTTAATATTAAAAAATTTATAAATTTTATAAATTAACTATTTAAATATACTCTAAATAACTTAAATTTAATATTAAATTTTTTTATTTTTATTTTAATAAATATAATATTAAAAATATTTAAAAATTAATTTAAATAAACAGTAAAAATTATTTTAAAGTAAAATGAAAGGTGAGGATTATTTTTGATCCTGATGAGTACTCGGTGCTCATTGCATTGACAAACACTGAATGCGAACGGCTAATATACTCACATCAAACACGCCATTAGTACTTTGTTTGCCAGCGGCTTGCCGTGAAACACATGTAGATGCGGTCCCAAGGTTGTGTGTTCGTGTGTGTACTCGTGATTGGTATCAAAAAACGCGCTGTTGGGGCGGGACAATTTTGGATGTGGAGAGCTCAGTTTCTTATTTTTTATTTGTTTTTTATGGAATAATTTCCCTTTGGGGGTCCAGAGGTTAAGTAAATATTGATTTAGATAATTTTAAATTTAAGAATTTTAATTACAAATGAAAAAATTAAATTCCAAATATAATTTTCAGTTTGCAATTACGATTCATGTTTGTAACTATTTAAATTAATATTTATAATTTATTTTTTTTTAAATTTTTATCAGAATCCAAACGTTATTAATTATTAATGTTGGAACTTTATTGTCATTCCCCCTATTCGTATGATATCCCGTAGAATGAACTTATGCACTGTTTGGTACATGGAAGTGTTTTTGATTATCATCATCGCCAGTCCAATATTGCCCTCATATATATATATATATATATATGTTAATGCTTACATATGGACCTTGTTCTTCTGATAACAGTATCATGTTTTGGTTGTACATCTGTGTGGGCTGTGATGGGCACGTTTGATGTCATAATTGACACAGTTTCAGCTGTGCATCCTCTGTCGCCTTTGATTGGTCTATTGAAGCCAAATGGCAAGCTTGTGTTGGTTGGTGCGCTTGAGAAGCCTCTGGAACTAGGGGTGTTCACGGGATGGGACGGGACCGGGACACCTACATCCCGTGTCTCGTCCCGAAAAAAAGATCGGGACTGAATTTTGGTCCCATGTCCCGTCCCGCCGTCTTGATAAATGGAATAATATCGAAAAAAGATCTGGATAATAACGTTTATTAAAATTTTAAATCATATAATTTATTAAATTTAAAATCAAAACAACACAAGTACATAAATGACAATAATTTAAAATTAATTATTAAATTATATTAATCACAACTACACATTATACTAACAAATACAGGTAATCTTTATGCTATAAGATTAGTAACAACAGGCAAGTCAAATACAACATCAAATCATTGTTCTTCTACTTTAGTGAAGATGTGTTAAGCTAATTACTCTTCAAAAAATAAAGCAAGAAATACGTTATAAATAAAAGTTATTAAATAGATAGATATAAAAATAAATTATATTAATATAATTAATATATTATAAAGGAAGATATCGTCATGTTTACTTCATGCCATTAAAATTATCAATATAAAAAAACTTTAGCTTTAACTAAGAATTACAAGTATTAAATTATAATTGATATAATTAATATAAGTATAAATTATATTAATATAATTAATATATTTAAAATAAAAAATAATATATATAATATTCGGGACGGGACGGGACGTCCCGATGGTAATCCCGTGTCCCGTCCCGTTCCGAACCCCTTTCCTGTCCCATCTCGTAAAGTCTCGTCCCGATTATTTTTGGACCGGGACAAGACCCGTCTCGATATGATCGAAATGATACTAGATCAATCGGAACGGATTTAGACTAAACACCCCTATCTGGAACTGCCAGTATTTTCCTTACTATTGGGTGGGTACATAAAAGAAAAATGATTTCATAAACTGAAGAGTATCATGATAAACATGTGACAATATATATATATATATATATATTATATTATATTGGCAACACCATGGAGCCACACCAAAAAAAAATGTGTAGATTCGCATGCGATTCAAGATTTCTGGTTGTGCTAGTAGCTAATTTTGTGTTCACCATGGTATATCAACATTCAGCCACATGTATCGCCTGTCTTAATGATTTATGCATGTTCCTTATTGACTCTTGAGAGAGGCCTTGTGGGTTATGTATGCATAGTGACGTACATAATTAAATAAAATTTAAATTAAAAAAATAATATTATACTCATAATGTATACATGTGTAACAAATAAATTCACCATCAACAATATAAATTATAATTTTATAGCATGTTAAATATGGATAAATTTTAATTAAATTTGGTATGAAAAAGGTAAAAAATTTGTACTTATAATTATCAACATCTTTTAAAAAAAAATCTTAAATTATATTATATGCACATGTGAAGATCAAAAAATAAAGTTAGCTTCTATGAGGATTTAATTTTTAAATTTTATCTCATTTGTTTTAAGAGTTTCCCATAGTTTTGGCCCAAAAAAAATAAATACAAGTTTCTGATAGTTCAATCGCAGCTAACTTCTAACTAAACTCAATTACGGAAATGATTTTTTTAAGAATATGATTTATGTAGTTAAATTTATATATTTAATATATTTATATTCAATCAAATCATAATAAATCTATTTTATTGTATTGATTAAATTAATAACAAAAGTGTATTATATAATAAATAATTTTTAAAATATACATATGTTTTTGTGACTATGTGATGAGAACCAATCATTCATACGGTACCATGTTTTGACTAAAAATATCCACACACTTTCATTTTTGCATAATTGATTATGTTCTCCCAAATCACGTTTAAGGCTTCTCAATTCCAGTTTCAATTATACTTGGAGCCTTCATTACCTGTCAACATTTTTCCCTTACCAAGTATCCCCCTGGCATTGTGTGCACGTGTGAACACAGGACAATCAACAAACATCGAAGTGACTGCTTTTGCACGCAGCTCGAGAAAAAGAAATCTGAAAAATGAGATAAAAATATTTATTATTTATTATAAAGAGAACAAAACATTAAACATGAAAAAATTTTAAAAATTGTAACATCCATAAAAATATTATTAAATATTAATATTATAAATTTATAATAAAAATTAATTTAAATTTATATTGTTTATCAATATATATATGTGTGTGTTAAATAACTTTTAAAATATTAAATGTATTATTATTATATTTTTATTAAATAAATTTAATAATATCATATGTAATTTTATTTACCTTAAAACTCATGTTTTTTATTATAATTCATACTTCTAAAATTAATTTTACTTAAAATCATTCAGACATTTTTAATTGTATTAAAATTAATTTAAAAAAATATCATCACCTTATAATATAATCAATTATAATTAAAATATATTATTATAAATAATTTTTTTAATAATTAATTATACGCAATTAAAATTTAATTATATTTTTAATTTAATTAAAAATAAGCATGAAGGTAAGTTTTCCCCTTTTTTAATCTTTCGGTAAGAGCTCGGGTCATGATCTTATGATCTGACGGTTTTTGACAGGTGTCATAGAAAGGTTCGAGGACATTGACTGCGAGTGTTATGTTCGTCACCGATGACGTCAGGACAGCCCTCCCCACCACTGTCACTCATAAATGTCACCACCACCGCCCACGGCACCAACTCCATTCATTTCTCGTACTCTCTCTCCCTCAACAGTGTCAATTTTCGTGTTCTCTCCACCTTCATTCATTTCCCTTACACTCATAAATGGCCGCACAACCTAGGTTGAAGCATCCAGTGAAGGCCTTCGGATTGGCTGCTAGGGATTCTTCCGGGCTTCTCTCCCCCTTCAACTTCTCTCGAAGGTACACACACAAACGCACACAGTAATCCAATCAATTTCTTCATTGAATGTATGCGTTCATATTTTCATAACGCTTTCCGTCTTCATTTTCATTATCAACATGGACTATATTTCTCATTTGTTCAGGGAAACCGGAGGAAAAGATGTGGCGTTCAAAGTGCTCTACTGTGGAATATGCCACTCCGATATCCACATGCTCAAGAACGAATGGGGCTTCTCCGTCTACCCACTCGTACCTGGGTACGTATACATTCATATATACACTCTAAAAACTGCGTGAACATGATGAAACTCATTTCTTATCATTCTAATGAGTTTATGTTTATACACAGGCACGAGATTGTTGGGGTGGTGACGGAAGTGGGAAGCAAGGTGCGAGAATTCAAAGTGGGAGACAAGGTTGGCGTGGGATACTTGGTGGGGTCTTGCCGATCCTGTCAAAGTTGTTCCGACGACCTTGAGAACCTCTGCTCAAAAACTATCCCCACGTCCGGTTCCAAGTACAGTGATGGCACCATCACATATGGAGGCTTCTCCGACTTCATGGTCGCCGACGAGCACTTTGTGGTTCGCATTCCAGAAGCGTTACCTCTGGATGCTGCAGCTCCTCTGCTTTGCGCCGGCATCACAGTGTACAGCCCTCTCAGATATTTTGGTCTTAACAAGCCAGGCCTTCATGTGGGTGTGGTCGGTCTCGGTGGGCTCGGCCATATGGCAGTCAAGTTCGCCAAAGCTTTTGGAGCAAAGGTCAGTGTCATCAGTACTTCTCCTAACAAGAAGAAGGAAGCCGTTGAACATCTAGGAGCTGATTCCTTTGTTGTCAGCCGCGATCAAGATCAGATGCAGGTGATTACTTATCATCACAAGTATTGTTGCTGTTATATGTATGTATGTATGTATGTATGTATGTATGTATGTATGTATGTATGTATGTTATACACACACACACACACCCGCCTTATTCTTCAAATAATGCTCATGTTTGATTGTATATCTGTGCATAGGCTGTGATGGGCTCCTTTGATGGCATAATAGACACAGTTTCAGCTGCCCATCCTCTCTCGCCTTTGATTGATCTATTGAAGCCCAATGGCAAACTTGTGTTGCTTGGTGCGCCTGAGAAGCCACTGGAACTGCCAGTATTTCCTTTACTTTTGGGTGAGTATAAATGAAAAATGATTTAAAGGTGAAAATAGAAATGATGTGAAGCGCTTACAAGTGCTGCAACAACATTTATATGTGTACTGGCAGGGAGAAAGACAGTAGCTGGAAATAGCATTGGAGGGATGAAGGAGACACAAGAGATGGTAGACTTTGCTGCAAAGCATAACATAAGACCTGACATAGAAGTGATTCCCATGGATTATGTGAATACTGCATTGGAGCGTCTCGTCAGAGCTGATGTTAAATATCGTTTTGTGATTGATATTGGCAACACAATGAAGCCAACGCCTTAAATTAACATACTATATATTTAAAGCTTTCTGGGAGAACTAGTTGCTGGTTTGTGTTTTTATATATTCAGCTATATATATTTGTCATATTGATTTATGTGTAATCCTCATTGACTCTTGAGAGGGATATTGTGGGTTAGATGTGGTTGTTTGTATGAATAAATTAACGCAGGAAGGTTAATTAGCTGCATATATATATATATATATATATCAATAAGATTCTCTGTCACAAAAATGAGAATATAATGCAAGTGCAGAGGTGATTTCACTTAGCAGCAAGATGAGAGTCGCTGTGTTAATTTTTTTGGATTATGGAAAGAATTAAATAAAGGATTGCTTCCGCCTACTTGAATTAAACAAGTGAGTTTGAGTGCGATAAAGTTAAGCATCATTACCACTGTACTTCTTCCAAAATTATAGAAAGATAAAATAGATTTAACTAACTCCTACCAAAAAAACAATTCTCCAAAATTATTTAAAATTAACTATATACTTTTTTCAAGTCCAGCATTATTTATTAACAGGCGTAGCTTAATCATAAATAAATATGAAAATCCTATTAATTTCAAAAAAATATCATTATGAAAAACACACAAATGCCTTATATATTTAAAAATAGATAGAGTAGAAAAATGTTTTATAATTTTAAATAAAGGGATCGGAGAATATATAAACGCTTATGAAATTGATAATTATTACCACCCTTTAACTCAAAACGGCACCATTGCTATCAAAGCCAGCGTATATTTAAAAAAAAAAACTTATTTATTATCAGTATTTTATAATAATTTTGTAAACATGAAATACGATGAAGATAATAGTTGTTTAATAGTGTCATAATAAATTAGTTATAATTTAATTTGATGGTAACATCCATGCACTTGGAAACATAATGATTTGTTTTTCTGACTATCTCAAAGCATAGTAATTACTCATTCCATTACTTAAACTGAAGCACTGACTTTGTTCTAATCTTACGATAACCTGAAGAACTTGTCATTACTGGTTAAAATTGTTGTACGTAATAGCTAACTTTATTTGACCATAACATTAATTAGTATAACGTGTTCAAATTCAAAGCAAACTAATTAATATGATGGTTTTAACGTAAACTAAGAAATGTTAAAACGAAATTTTGAGAAATACATTACTCCAGCGTCCAAAAAGATCAATATTATAGACGCGGTCTAACTTCGTCAGCCAGAGATAGTAATATACAACCGGTTTGTGTTGTACTTGGTCCAAATAAACCCTCACCCATGATGGATTAGTAGTAGAGTTACATTTGGATTCTACACCTGGTGTTAGAATCCAAATGAAATTCTACTGATTCAGGTAAAAAAGAATTAAAAAAAAGGATTATAGAGGCATCTCATCTAATCTTCAACAAAAACAAGAAGTTTTATCTCACTAAATGGAGTTGGCTACATGAATTATATAACATTATTATGCTCTATCATTTATTAAGCTTTTAAAAATATTATTAATTAAAAAGTCTTATTCAACAATTTTTAAAAGTGTTCTCTTTAGCTTTCCTTTACCTTTCTTGACAAGGATCAAAGTTATATGTTCTATTTTTTTCATAGGTGCCTCCATTAGTCTTCTTTGTACTTATCCAAATTACTTCAAATGATTATCTACCATTTTTCCTTTAATAGATGCTGACGCTCACTTTTTTCTGTATATGCTCATTTTAGATTTTATCTTTACGGTACATCCACACATCCATCTCAACATTCTCATCTCTGTTATTTCAATTTTATGCTCATATTATCCCGTTAAAGCTCAACATTCACCACCATATAATATTACTAGTCTCATAGCAGTTTGATAAAGCTTCACTTTAAGTTCATTAGATACCTTACGATCACAGATAACTCCTTTACACCACCCAACTTGTATCCTATATGTAATATCTCCATCAATTTTCTCATTATGTTGAATAATCACTCTCAAATATATAAACTTTTTACTTGAGGTATGATTTGATCATTCAATTTCACTTCCAAATTACTACTCACTAACCTTTTATTAAAATTACAATGTAGATATTTCATTTTATTCCTACTCAAATGAAAACCTTTTAACTTTAATGTCCTTCTCCATAACTCAAGTTTACAATTAATCTCTTCTCTTATCTTTGCAATATGAACTATATCGTCCGTGAAAAGTATGCATTTAAAAATTTCCTCTTGAATATGGTTAGTCAAAGCATCTAAGACTAGATCAAAAAAATAAGAATTCAAAGATATTAATCTCTTCTCTTATTTTTGTAATAAGAACTATATTGTCCGTGAAAAGCATATATTTAAGGATTTCCTCTTGAATATAGTTAGTTAAAGCATCTAAGACTAGATCAAACAAATAAGAACTTAAAGATATTAATCTCTTCTCTTATTTTTGTAATAAGAACTATATTGTCCGTAAAAAGCATGCATTTAAGGATTTTCTCTTGAATATGCTCAGTAAAAATATCTAAGACTAGATCAAACAAATAAGAACTCAAGAATAATCCTTGATACAATCTAATTTTTATAGAAAAGTCTTTTGTTTTACCGTCAAATATTCTTATACTAGTTGTTGCCCTGTTACATGTCTTGTATAGCTTGAATATAGGCAACCTGGACACCCTTCTTTTTCAATGCCTTCCAAAATACTTTTCTCAGTACATGATCATAAGCTTTTTTCAAATCAATGAAAACCATATGTAAATCTTTACCTTTATATCGATATTTTTTTGTTAATCTTCTTAGTAGATAAATCACTTTTGTAGTCTCCCTACTTGGCATGAAGCCAAACTGATTCTCAGAAGTATCAATTTTCTATCTCAACTTATGCTTAATCACCCCTTTCCATAATTTTATTATCTGATTCATAAGTTTAATCCCTCTATAGTTAGCACAATTCTGAATATCTCCTTTATTTTTGCAAATATGAACTAAGTTGCTTTTGTCAGGCAATATCTTGGATTGTAAGATCTCATTAAATAACTTAGTTAACTTACTATACTTCTTCTTCACCCAAATTTTTCACATTTCAATAGGAATACAATTAGGTCAATTGGCTCTACCATTTGCCATTTTTTAAGAACTTCCTTTACTTCTCAAGCATGTATCCTTTGATAAAATGACAAATTTTGCTCTCTTTCAAGAGTTACTAAATCCTCCAAGTTAATTGACAAAACCCGCCATCATTGAAAAGTTTAGAAAAGTATGTCTCCTATCTGTTAATATTATTATCTGTAACCAAAATATTTTCCTCTTCATCCTTTAAACACTTTACTTATTCCAAATCTCTTGATTTTCTTTCCTTACTCTTAGCAATCTTATAAATTTTTCATTCTCCATTCTTTGTCTCAAGATCATTATAAAACTCTTTAAATGCTTTAGAATGCAAGCTTCACTCACTGCCTTTTTAGTTTCCTTTTTAGCCATATGATACTTTTCCTAATTTTTATCATTATTACACATATGGATGGCTTTAAAACACTCCTTCTTATACTTTATTTTTTCATCTAAACTATTATTTTACTATTAAGACTCCTTATCTCTCAAACTAAAACCTTTTAATTCTCTCAAAACTTCTTTTGCAACTTTCCTTACCCTCACAGCCAAATCCTCTCACAAAATGTTAGCATTTTCTCGAAACTCCCAAAATTCCTTTAGGTAAAAGATTTCTCCTGAAATTTCTTGCTTTTCACCTTTTAATTGCCATCACCTAATCCTTGGAGGTATTACTCATCGACACTTTTGGTTTTTACTCATAATACACACATCAAGGACAAGGATCCTGTGTTGTGTCATTGTAGCATCCCTAGGAATCACCTTATAATTTTTACAAAGTTTTTTATCTATGTTTCTTACAAAAAAGAAATCAATCTGTGACCTTAAAGCTCCACTTTTATAAGTGATGAGACACTAATCCCTCTTCTCAAAACAAGTATTAGCAATCTTAAAATCATACGCCAAAGACAAATTATCCTTTATTATTTAGCTCCTCAAAACCTAAACCACCATGCACCCTCACATAATGACTTGCCTTCCTCTCAACATGACTATTAAAGTCTCCTCCAATAAAAATTTTTTTATTATGTGGTATGCTTTGGATCAATCCCTCTAAGTCTTCCCAAAATAATTCTTTAAGACTAGCTTCTATCCTGACTTGAGGTGCATAAGCGCTAATAATATTAATAGTCTCATGTCCAACAATCATTTTTAAAGAAATAATTCTATCTCTAATTATGTTAACATCTATCACGTTCTTCTTCCACTTCTTATCAACAATGATACTCACCCCATTGCGTGTGTTTACTTTCCTAATATACCAAAGTTTGAGACCTTGGATATCGTTAGTTTGTTCGCCAAACCATTAAGTTTTTTGCAGGCACAAGATATTAATTTTTTTATGAATCATAACTCCTACCACCTCTATAGATTTAGTAGTCAAGATTCCAACATTTTGAGTACCAAATTTGATCTTGTTTACATGGACTAACTTCTTTAGCCGTGCTTATCCAAAATAACGTGATAGTCTTTGCTCATTTAGCATTACATCTAAATATTGATGCAGGGGCCCTAACTCACTTGTCAGTGTACTCGAGCCATGCAACACGTTACTCACAAGCAATAACCTAGCATTAGCACCATAACGTCTATTGTCTTTATCCATGTGAGATTCAACAGCTCTCCTCCTTTACTTGGGCTTAAAATCGCTATAAAACATAGGAGGAGTTTCATTCGATCTTCAGATTCAGTATAATCCTCCTCAACAATATTTGGTTTAATTTTCTAACACAGCCCTCATCCCCTGGTACCCGCGTACGTGCGTACATGCACTCTCAATATACGGTTGGCATCCATATGCTCTACCTCTTGATGCTGCAGCTCCCCTGCTCTATGCTAGAATCGCAGATTAGTCGTAGTGTAGATGATGAGCATTCTAAGCTAACCAATTACTTCAGAAGTTATGATTCTTCTATCGTTTAGGATATTCTTTACAGGAAGTTGACTAGAATGTTCTGTGAAAATAAGATTCAACATCTCCACCTAGTCACTGCATAATAATATGACTTTTCTGCAACCCTCATCCCAATAGGGTTTAGGATTCTGTTGTTCATTTTATATGACCGTTGTTTAATTGTAGTTTCCAATTCAAAGTGTATTATTTATTTATTCTCCAAGTGTC